CAGTGGCGTGGCGTGACTATATCCGGTAGGCGTTCGGTAGAAGTGTTAACTTTGGGGGGGGGGGGGTCAGAAAGGTTCACTCCCCTTCCTTAAAGGGGGGTTTGGGGGGCCTCCCCCGGAAACTTTTTAAAAAATGAAGCCGCAAGAACACGATTTTAACCCTTACTGGTGAAAATTGTGCCGGTTTTTCATTGAAATTTTGTTCTTTTTACCGATCGTTTTCCTGTAATTTATTTTGTCAAATGATAACGGATTTTCACAACACGCACCTGCAGAGAGAGGTGGGAGAGGGAGACTGGGAGATGCGGCCCGCAGGCGCAGGGGGGGGGGAAGCGGAGGGCGAATCGCGGCATAGAGGAAATTCGGCGGTTCGCAAACCCCTGCGGACCACTGCTATAGGAAACAGCTGGACTGATGAGCGGCTTTCCTCTCTCGTTCTTTTCCCCTCCCTTTTCTTTCTGCTGTGTTCCCTCCGCGAGCGCGGTCCGCACTCGTCTCCGAACCCAATGCTCACGCTCCGCTCTGCGCCGTGCGCCGGTGCCTCTCCTCTCTCGTGTACCCTTTGCCCCTTCATCATTAAACCCAGGTTCTCTCTCCTCACCGTACGCAGATCATCCAGGTTCGGTAGCCGGTGCGGACCACGCGTCACAGGATTTTCTCTCTCTGCCGCGCCACATGCCGCTGTCGGAAGCCAAGCGCCCAATACTTATTTGCGATCTACTATTCTGTATTCTGTATTGCTTCCACATTCTTAGCCATCATTTATTAATTGTTTCAAAATATTTTAGGGTGTTCGGCGAACACTGCGAACCTATGGACGCCACGCCACTGGACATTTGTCTACATTGTTCCGGCTTGGGATGCAGCAATCAAGCAGAAACACTCATCGAAGAGGAATCAGAGGATGAATTTAAACTCCCTCTTTCTATATTTTTATTAATTCATTTCCTTTTAGTTACTTTGAAGAAAGAAGATTTGTTGTTTGACAAATTTAATTTGAATAAGAAAGCATAAAATAATAACATTATCTTCAAGCGCGACCGTTGACATTTGTTAACTATACAACATGCATGACCTAAAGGGGGAGGGGGGGGGGGTTCATGATGAAAGGAAATTAGCACATATTTAAATGGATAATATGACTTACCCTCGCGGTAAATCTACCAAAAAAGTGAAGCCGTTTCATCTTGGACCGCAACAATGCATGGCGCGGCCAAGCCGAGCCTCACCGCGTAGTAGCCGCCGTTGGTTCGGACCGCATAGCGCTCCGGGGGCGGACCCCCTAGTGAATTCATAAGCATTTTTAGCATGGAAATTTCATGCTCTTTCATTCCGGTGAGAACACTTTTTTGCCTCAGACTCGCCGTTTTTAAGATAATTACAGATTTTGTTGAAAAAACGTGATTTCTCGCAAGATTTGACTTTCCTAGCCGCGGGAAACTACCGGCATATCTCATGAACCAGAAGTCGCAACTTGATAAATGTATAGTGTTTCTAATAGGAAATTTTATGATCTTTTTAAAAGGTTCAGTGACATTTTTCCGTAGCTTCTATATATGGATTTTCCCAGATGACCCTTATTTAGAGCTAAATTGACTGGACTATGTGTAGTTACGCTCTTATGTCAGCCAAGCTACGGACAATGTTTCTAAATTAAGCCAGAATTTTTATTTCCTAATGGGCCGAATGCAATTTTCTTTTTATTGTATGTACGGAGAGAACGAAATATGTCGACACCACTGAAATTTTCCTGAGGTTTTCGACCATCGGAATCCCCCAAAAAGTCAGTTTAAAATCGCCCCAAAATTCGGATTTTCAAAACGTTCGCTTTTACGCGGGACCAGGCACAGTACATTTCGTCGTCTCCCGCACGAAGGAACGTAACTCCAATCCAAAGTTGCCAAATTGACTCCAACAATTAATTTATTTTACAAAAATGTAAGTGTGCAATTTATATCCAAATTTGTCTGATTTTTGCATGAAATCGGAAGAAAAATCAGTGAAATTTTCAGTTAGAAATGCCCGATACTTTTCTGGTTAAAATGCAATTTACGAAAGGAAATTTGGCAACATTGAAATGTAGTTACGTTCTTTCGTGAGGAAAACGACGATTTGTGACGTCACCGTACATGACATGTACATGTTAAATTCATAACCTGTGTGATGGTCCATTAAGGTCATGTTTTTATTCATTATTTTCCATTTTTTGTTACTATTCACCTTGAGTGAAGGGCTATTAAAAAATTCGCCCCTAGCTGGAGCTCAGTGTCAAAAGTGACGTTATTACCACAGAGGACTGAAGGAGTGCCGACCCACTTTTTCACCACGTTGTACGTGGCATATCCCGGGGGCGATGTGAGGGAAGCCCGTCCGTATGATGGGGAGAAAGAGGGTGAAAGGGGGAAAGGGGGTGGGAAAGGGGGACGGACCCCGAAAAGCTAAACGAGTGCGAGCCACGAAATTGACAAATGGGGATGCATCGGGTAAGCGATCCTATTTACATTCATGGTTTGACTTAATCTCGACAGCGATTTTTATTCCCACCACACACGCCTCGCTTGTCTCCATCGTCGCCAATTCGACGAAGAATCTGTTTTAAATCTGTATGCTCGAACGAAGAACGGAAAATGTGGAGATTATTCTGGATTCGGCAACAGTGCGATGGGAGAAGGTACCGCGAAGTATCTTGCTCAATTTGGAGCCACGATTGCGGATGCGTAAAGCTGTGCCACGGTGGATCAAAAAAAGGCTTCGGGTGCCTCAAGAAGGGAATTGAAGGATTTCGGGGGTGAGAGAGGTAAGTGACATCTATGTGAGTTTTTTTGCGTATTGTAAGGGAGAATTTTGGCCAGGGATCGGGTTCAGTCTATGTCCTACTTTGCCGTCATAAGAAAAAACGCCGTATGAACATTCCAGAGTTGCCTAATCTACCGTGCTACACTGGTAAAAAAAACCTGTTGGACCAATGCCGCATTGCATTGACTTAAAAGTGCACTTTCTTGTCGCCGGATTTTAGAGTCTTGAACCCTTGTTTCAAGTGGATTTTGCATTGAAACAAGAGTCCAGACTCTTAAATCCGGCGACAAGAAACTGCACTCTTGAACTAAGAGGTTTTTTTTACCAGTGTAAGGAAGAACGATGTATGAACCTCCAGGCGTTGACAAGTTTTCTTTGATAAAACACGAATTCCCTGGTGAACTTATGAATATTTCCCTTCCGATTTTTCAGATAATTTTGTTCGCAATTTCCCCCAAAGTTCCTGAAAATTCCAAAGAAAAACATTCCTATTTTTCCTTAAATATGAACATTTTATCGAAGGAACTTTGGCAACTCTCGAATGTTCATACGGCGATCTTCCTTATCACGGCAGTAATTTCTTCTGGCAAAATGTGTATTTTTAAAGGTAAAAAAGAATATTTCTACCTGAAATTTTTGGAGAGTATAGATCAAATCGAGAATGAATTGTTCTGGAAAATTGGAAGAAAAAATTCACAAATTTCCATACAAATTCATATTCTATCGGAGGAAATTTGACAAAGTCTGAATGCTCATACGGCGTTCATACCTCCTAACCACGGCAATACTGTTAACCCACATGACAGTGAAAAGAAACATCCTCTGGTTACCAAGAGAGGCTATGGTACTCGATTTTTCATGTTTGCAGTAATAAATATAAATAACTATATTACTTTATGTATATATTATTCTACCTCTCCTTCTCTATTTCTAATGATTAATATCTTTCTTTTACTTATAGATTTAATATATTTAAGTGCTGTTTTATGTCAGCACTTAAATATTAATAACTATATTACTTTATGTATATATTATTCTACCTCTCCTTCTCTATTGAGTCGTTGAATGTCTCTAAATTATAATAACTAACTAACTAACTATTGCGAAATCTTGAACCTAAGAATTTGGAGTGCAGGAATTGATTGATGTGTCACAGGCAAACAGAAACTATCGGAAATTTGCAGGTGATAGATCTCCAAAAGCGAGCTTACGCGTCGTTCATGGGTCACTCAAGGCTCAATGCTAGAGAAAAATTAAAGTCCGACACGAAGGAATTTATTTTTTTGAGTGAGAAATGAATGAAACCCACAGAAATCTAGAATTCTAGTTTTTCGCCAAAATATTAATCGACAATTTTTAAGAAATTTTTTTGAAAATTGCAAATCCAAATACTCTATACGCACATCACAAAATTTCTACAACACACTTTCAGAATCAAAAATTTTTTGTGAGGTCATAAACATGTTCACCAAAAGTTATTTGCCATACTATCTTTGTCTCAAAAATTATACTTGTCTGTGGGTCACAGGATTATTTCTGTGTCCCTTGAGAATTCCCCAAAATTTCTGTCAAACTTTCACGAATAACACTGAATGAAATAATGTTTTGTTTTAGCACCTGTGATGTCAAAAATGTGTCTGGTAATCCCAAGATGCTGCCTTTACTGCCCCCGCAGTTAATTTTACATCCTGTGAATGCAAATTCAACTGCATGGGCAATCAAAGCAGCATCTTAGGGTCACTAGAACATTTTTGGTATCCCAGGTGCTAAAACAGCATACCATTTTTTTAGTGAAAATGTCATATAAATTGCTTATTTCTTTCCTCAGTGCACATTTACACATATAATAGATTTTGTACGTATTATCTTACTTGGTTTGATTGGCTCCTCAAGTTGTACATAAAAGGTGAGCCGCTTCTGATATGAATTTTCTTCAACTATCGGTATCGATATTGTTTTCCTGTGAATCAGACAAAACCATTAATTAATTATTTCATTTTCAAGAAGAATTCACCAATTTTTAACTTTATTTGTGCGCGCACAACTCTAGGTCAATAGGTCCCGGGTTCGTGTCCCTGGAGTTGCCACGAATTTTCACAGAACTGGAGAGTGAATCTGCAAGAACAGATTCAACTTGGTCTTAATCCCTAAAAATTTGAATATCCTGGAGCATGAATGTGTCTTTTGCCCTGATATGAGAAGACATCAAATAAGTCTATAGACGGATGTAGGCTCCTAACGAAATATAGGCCAAATAACCAGAAAAAAAACTTTATTCGTAACTTCTGTTACATTTGTATCAATTGTTGTCCGCTTATTTTCCTTAAAGTCGAATTGGAGCTTTTTACCGTTAGCAGCTCTCCAACCTCAACGCTTGAATCTTCTCTCCAAATCCAACTGACGGGTGAGGCACATGAAAAAAACATGAGGACAGAATGGACCGTTAGATTGAACACGGACCCCAGAGAAAGGGTACACGAAAATAAACTTGACATTTAGTCGATGGATTGTCCAAGTGACTGAAAAGGTGCGAAGGGAGGAAAGGGTCAGTCCTGATCCTGTAAACGCTCAGGATCCTATCCTTTATCAAGATAAAACATTTTGAGATTGATTGCATCTCTTATTCCTCCTCTCCTTGTCCGTAAAGTAGACTATTTGTATTTTACTGTAGTGATGCTTTGAACTTGAGTCCCACCCTTCCTCTTGTGAAAAATCGAGAGACACACTTTTCTATCACACATTTTCTAAAAGACTAATACTATCTAAGTTAGTATACAAATTTCACGAGCATGCTCGTGATAATAACACAGAAGTAAGAGATGATCGGAACAAAAATGAAAAAATTTGCTAAATGTGCGTACAGTGGAAATCGGATAAAACGACCTTCCAGGGACCGGCATTATTTGATCGTCGGAGTCGATTGTCGTTATAAAATATGTAAAAATACATTTACTCGATAGGATTGTAGCCAGGGGACCAACCAGAGATAGCGTCGGACCGGTATGCCGTTATGAGCTATGCCATACTATCCGATTTTCAATGTACATCCAAGAAGGAAACAAGAATCACAGGGTTTCCCTCCATGTTTTTAGCTCCACAGCTCATTGTTTTGCTAGCCCTTTTGACTTTGGTAAGACTTCTGATAAGGCAGGCGTTTTCTTCCATTCAGTTTCAGACTGAGTGAAATATTTTAGGACTTTACTGCTGTGCTGAGCAGAAATACCCTATGAACGCTCGAACGTAGCCAAATTTCCCCCGGTAAACCATTTTTCTTAGAGAAAGTTATGCATATTTTTCCTTCAAATTTTCAGATACATCAGATAATATTACAAGCAAAATCGTCTGAAAAATTGAAAGAAAAATACCGACAACTTTCTCAATGAATTCATATCTTATCAAAGGACATTTGGCAACGTCTGAAGGTTCATATGACGTTATCCCTTAGCACGACCGTATGTGCGATGAGCTTTAAACGGGAGCCTATCAAAATTTTAAGCGCACACGTGTTTTTTGGGTCATTATAGATTATTTCAACTTAAAAATAGTTTAACGGTCGCTTCATAACTGCTTTGAATGTGTTTTTGTGTCATGACCATTACAGAAGCCGTTATCCCTAATGCTTCTAACTTTCGCAAAATCTGCGTTTCTGTGGTTTACCGAGCAGGGTAGTTGCGGGTATATTATGAAAAGTTACTCCCTCACCACCATTAATATTATTGTTACAAATATTTCAAATGAACTCAGAACAAAAACGAGGCTCACGCCCAGAGAACCGCGCTTAAAATTAAGCCACACGCGAATGCTGCCATGCTAAGGAAAAACGCCGTATGAACCTTCACGCGTTGCCAAATTTTCTTCGATAAAACACGAATTTCATAGTAAACTTTTGGTTATTTTTATTCTAATTTTTCAGATTATTCTGTTCGCACTTTCACCTGAAGTTCCTGAAAATTTCAAGGAAAAATATTTATTAATTTCCTTAAAAATGAACTTTCCATTCAAGGAAATTTGGCAACTCGCGGATGTTCATACGGCATTTTTCCTTAGCACAGCAGAATGCCCGTCCTCATTTACACGCCCACAAAGGCACCAGTTCCGTTTCTCCCCTGTGTTTTTGGATAGGTCTGCATCGTCTTTATGTCTTTGGAAGGGTCCACTTTTTGTTCCCCCCGAAAGGAAACCTCGATATTTCACCGTATGCTTTGCATTGATTAATCTCGACGTTTGTGTAAGCGACTTCAGCGCTCGACGATGAAGGAACACGTAAGCTCTGGTTCTTACGAGCATCTCACGCGTACAATTGGACATATTTATGCTAAAAGGAACTATGTGCATAGGGATTGCATGTAACATAGTTCCCTTCATGATAAACACGTACAATTTTAAGTTGGGGCAGCAAAACATAGAGTTTCTATGCGGGTTAAAAGGTTCTAATTGTAACCTTTCCTCCCTAGTAACTTCGCTGGTTTCCAGATATAACCATGACAAAAATGAAAATTTAGGCAGGCAGTGAGCTGAATGTGGATTGACGATAAAAAAAAGCGATCTGTAAATTCAACTTTTTCTAAAAGAGCATTCTAGCTCCATGGGTGTCCGTGCTGCGTGTTGCGAGTTGAAAAATGAAGGAGCTCTTCGTTCCGGTTCCCTACTGCATCTTACCGAAGTGACACACTGACACGCAGTATACTGCCGTGCAAAGGAAGAACGCCGTATGAACATTCGAGAATTGCCAAATTTCCTTCGATAAAGTGTTAATTTTTGCGGTAGGTTATGAACATTTTGCCTTGAAATATCCAGGAACCTCAGGTAAAATTGCGAGCAAAATTATCTAAAGAACTGGAAGAGAAATATTCATAAATTCGCCAGAAAATACGTGTTTAATCAAAGGAAATTTGGCAACGCCTGAAGGCTTATACGGCGTTTTTCCTTGGCACAGCAATATGGACGTATTTAGGCTAAGAGGAACTGGGGACGTGTGGGAAAGATAAAGTATGTTCGTGCAAGTTGCATAAGAAGAAATGTAAAGGCGGGCGTGATCCCTTTTAAGAAAATGAAAAAGTGGGATTTGACATTAAATAAAAAGGGACTAAACGCCAAAATATGCTAACTCTTGATCCGTAGGCATATGTGAAGAGCTTTGTGGACAAGGCTCATGAGTTGAAGACTCCTGACGTCAAGATCCTCGTCCCCGAAGTCGACGATGACGTCACTGCAATGGCGATTCTTGAACATTTGCAACATTGTTTTTCCTCCATTTGCATGTATGTAGAACAGCCGATTCTTGGTGCACCTAAAATTGATATTTTTAGGGGTCCTAATGAGGGAACAACAGTGTTACCGACTTGCAAAATTGCCTCTGCGTCACCAGCGCTTTATATTTACCATTTATCCTTACGACCCTCAACCAACCAGCACCTTCCTTCTTCCGGACCTGTCTCTAGTTCCTCTCAGCATGAATACGTCCATATAACGCCATTGGCGGATCCAGCAAATTGGATTTCCTCCATTTAAATCTATGGAATGTATCGATTCTTGGAGGGGCCAAGTACTCCAACAAGAATTGATTATTTAGCAAAGGTTTAAATGGAGAAAATCCGAATTGCTGGATCCGCCTCTGCATAATGCTTCAATCGTGGTAATAAACTACTATGAATACAACCCTGGAACCTGGAAACACCAGAACAGTTCTGCCGTGCTCAGGAAAAACGCCGTAAGAACATTCAAGAGTTGCCATATTTTGCCGAATTAGACATGAATTTTTGAAGAAAATTACGCGTATTTTTCCTTGAAATTTTTAGGTATTTCAGATTAAATTGGAAACAAAATCGTCTAAAAGTTTTGAAGAGAAAGTGTCCATATCCTTAATATTCCGAGAAAATTTTTTCTTGTCATGGCAACGTCTGAAGGCTCATAGGACGTTTTCCCTTAGCACGGTAGAGTTCGGCTCCAACACTGCCCTGCCAAGGAAGAACACCGTATGAACCTTCGAAAGTTGCCAAATTTCCCTTGATAAGACATCTATTTTTGACAGCATTCATGCATATTTTTCCTTGAAATTTTCAGATATTTTAGATGAAACCGCGTCAAAAATCGTCCGAAAATTTAGGAAAATAATTTTTGCCGTTTTCCCAGTTAATTCGGTTTTTATTGGAGGAAACTTGGCAAAGTCTGAGGGCCCATGCAGCGTTCTTCCTTAGCTTGGGCGTTCCCTCTCGCGCTAAAGAAGATGCACAAAATAGTTATTCTAGATTTTTATTTTTCCAGGAGTTAGTCGGTAGGAGACTGCTCTTTTCGAGGCTGCCCTGACTTTGAGCCGGAGGAGGCTGTCAGCTCCAGGCGGGCGCGAAAGACAGATCCGGGATCCGGGCCCCGGGTTCCGGGGATCATGGGCCTTGCCTTGCCTTGGCTCGAAATGAATTAAACCTCGGTAAAATGGATTACGGTGCTTTGCGATGTTTGCCGGGTATTTTGCGATTAGCGACGCTTGGCCGCTCAACCATCACTCCCGGCTCAAGGAAAAAATCCCCNCGTGAGCTCTGTTATGCATGTATCCTTATGAATCTCAGGGCTCATGTCTTAATGCACATAGTTCTGTTCGGCAGAAATACATCCAATTGATATTTTTAATGGGTCCCATTGAGGGAACAACAAGGTTACCGACTTGCAAAATCGCCACTGCGTCACCAGCGCTTTATAATTACCATTTATTCTTACGGCCCTCAACCAACGAGCACACTCCTTCTTCCGGACCTGTCTCTAGTTCCTTTCAGCATAAATACGTCCATATAACGCCATTGGCAGATCCGGCAAATTGGCGACATTGCCTTTTCTTCATTTAAATCTATGGAATGTATCGAATCTTGGAGGGGCCAACAGGGGTCGAGAGGGTTCTCAAGAGCGAACGCCGATTTCCAGGATTTCATATGCATCGCCTCCTCGCTCGCGAGTTGAGAGGCCTTT